GACTTTATATTTTGTGGGAAGGGGTGGGGTGGGGGGGTGGGAGGGTCAAGGGTAGGTACGTATTTAAGGGTATATTTCTTCTTTTTTTTCACCGGGTATATATTTTTTTCACTTTTCACCCATACCCTACCTCCCTGTCCTACGTACGTTTCCTTTTGCCATTAACGTAAAACTATACCTAAATTCCCATTACCATTCGACAGAGTAACCGGCGGCGAGCTCTTCGAGGATATCGTCGCCCGAGAATTCTACAGCGAGGCCGACGCCTCGCACTGTATTCAACAAATTTTGGAAAGTGTTCACCATTGCCATCACAACGGAGTCGTGCACAGAGATCTGAAGGTAAGAGGGTGACGGATGGCCGCCATTTCGGTGAGTCAAGACACGCCGGTATAATCGATTCTTCGATCGATCCCGATTACAGTGACCGATCCCCCCTCCTTATCCTCGTCCCACGTCGTCTTCGTCACGTTGGTAAAACTGGTTTTCCTCGGTTCGCAGCCTGAGAATTTACTCCTGGCGAGTAAAGCCAAAGGTGCCGCCGTGAAGTTAGCGGATTTTGGACTGGCTATTGAGGTACAGAGCGAGCAGCAGGCATGGTTTGGTAAGTGGATAAAAGTATGTGGGATGATTGTTTTTATCGTATTTTTTTATATGAATCTTCTTTTCCACGCAGGCTTCGCCGGGACGCCCGGTTATCTCAGCCCGGAAGTCCTGAAGAAGGAACCGTACGGGAAGCCTGTGGATATATGGGCATGCGGTGTTATCCTGTATATTCTACTCGTCGGTTATCCCCCGTTTTGGGACGAGGATCAGCACAGGTTATACAGTCAGATAAAGACTGGTTCCTACGACGTGAGTAGGATTGGAGGATGATTTTGAAAAAAAGAGAAAATTTTATTCGGCTTTTTTTTTTTCTATGCCAAAGATAGACGAATAAGTGTCTCAGGAGAGTTTTGGTATATATAAATATTATATAAGATAAATATGGCACAGTAGATCCTTGGTAACCAATGGCAAGCCTTGTGCTCTCTGTCAGATCGCATTGAAGTTTGTCCTTATCGCTTTATTCTCTTATCGTACTTTGTTTACGTTGAATCTCTTCGTAGTATCCAAGTCCGGAATGGGACACTGTGACGCCAGAGGCGAAGAATCTTATCAATCAGATGCTCACGGTGAACCCGGGCAAACGGATCACGGCCAGCGAGGCACTGAAGCACCCGTGGATCTGCGTAAGTTGTTTTTTTTTGAAAATGCCAAACTTTACGTAATTTTATCTTAATATTTTTTAGAATTCTACGAATTTTAACGCTTCTCTTCTGTCTGTTCCAGCAACGTGAACGCGTCGCGTCCGTGGTCCACAGACAAGAGACTGTCGACTGCTTGAAGAAATTCAACGCGAGGCGCAAGTTGAAGGTAAGTGGAAGATGTGGATAAAAAAAAATTTGAACGAAGATAGGACCAGGACAAGCGAGTACAGTGAGAACGAAAGATTCTAGACGGTTAATTATACCTGACAATGTAATAGACAACAGGTTGAATTATCCGTGTCGATTGTTTAGCCATAATAATATTTTGGATACAAAGGAAGATGAAAATTAGAGGAATGAAAAAAAAGAAAAAGAAGAAAAATTCGTTTACCGTGACAATGACAATCTTACCGTTATAAATTAACTGGCTGCCGGCTCCCATTTGACGCTGATAATAATAATAGTATCGGGCCACAGAACCAATGTCCGATTCTCACGAAGGCGACCGATGATGACACCCAGCGACAATGAGGCGGTGAAAGGTTGAGAGAAAAAAAAAAGAAAACTGAAATTAATTTCAACTGAAAATTATAATCGATTGAGTAATTGAAAATTCGTCACTGTCAATATAGGGATTTAATAGTTTTCAAACTTTTTTTTTTCCGTATCTTTTGTGTAAAAGGGACCATATCTTTTTTACGGTTTACAGTCGGTAGCGAGAGGCACCTGACGTACCGGCAAATCCCGTGGACACTTTTGAATCGAGATTCAATTTGACGACTGTTATTAAGCGTAGTCCCTCCTCGTGAAACGTTACCAAACGCGACGTTGTCCCGTCGCTTTGAATTACTCCTGTAGCCGAAGGTCGTACCCTGTTCTCATTTCTATCTGGTTTTGTCCTTAAAGATCTCGGTTATATTGTTTACGGTCATTGAAATAATTTATCGTTCGACGAACCGTTGGGCTTCACCGTATCTCGTTCCCACGTACTGTAATATACGTGTTGTATACGTATTTCATTAGCGTCAGGTCCCCCTTGTCTTTCTTGTAGCTTTACACGATCCGGCATCAATGTACGAAGCTTTCGAGCGTCGCGCGCTGGGTGCGAGGCTATCCTGGCATTTAGCGATCTTAACATGGAGGAGAGGCATAATTGAATTCCATAAGTAGACGCGGCTGGACGTGCGGTGACACCGTAACCCTGCTGCCTGCTAAAAAGAGAGATAAATAAATAAAAAAAATAATAAGAGAGAGAGAGAGAGAGAGAGAGAGAAGGTAATATTAGAGAGTAAAGAAAATTAATCGACACTCTCAAAGACGTATCCGTTTTTATTAGCTGTGCTAATACGAAAGACTTTCACGCGTGTCAGTTCGGACCGGAGTGCCCAAGATGGATGGAAACGAAAGGGAGATGAAGGAATTGAAGGAAGGAGAAAAAAGAGAAGAAGTAGAAAAAATATATAAAGAATTTTAATATAACTCCGAGGCGCGCAAGGAGCCTTCGTACGAATGAAATAATGACAGTAGCGATAACGCGGCGCGACGTGTTATCGTAGAAAATTAAACAGCCGCCAGAGAGTCGCGATCGGAGTGAACATAGGCGACAGTGAGTAGGTATGAATAATTAACGCGGGAATTTCGTCCTGTTTGAATCTGGTGATTTTGACTGGGAGAATAGAGGATGAGAATGCTAGTGACGTTTTGTTAATGGTAACTTTTTCTTTATTGTTGTTATCGTACGATATCGATAGGTCCAAAATGGCGGACGAGACGTTTACACGGGGAATGTTTATATTGACTTTCTTCGAGCCTAGAGATCTCTTGGGATGCGTCGCGACGCTTCGAGAGCTACTTTAAGAACGTGCACTCTCGGAGTTGATCTTGAATCAATTAACGCGGACGTCGTTTCTATGTCGGCGATGCTAAGGCTTCTTCCTGAGAGTCTCTTTTTTTTTTTTTTTTTTTTTTTTTTT